CAGGTTGGGAGTGGACCCACCCCAGGGCCTGCTGAGGACAGAGCAGCCAGGCCGTCCTGGGCCGCTTCGAGCTCACTTTGCAGTTGGCACTGGGTTGGGGAGGAAGAGAGCTGATGAGTGTGGCTTCCCTGAGCGTGGGGTTCCCCTGCTTGTCCAGTTCCAGTTGTGAGCTGTCCTCGGTGTTACTGAGGCTGTGCCTAGAGAGTAGAGATTTTTGATGAAAGGTGTGCTCGCTCTCTGCGTTCTATCTTCTCTCTCCTCCCTGTTCCTGCAAATCACAAGAAAAGGTAGTGGTGTATCTTGACCCCATCAGCCTCTCACCCACTCCCAGACACACAAGTCCTCAAAGGTTTCAGCTCCGTGTGTGGGATGTGCAGGGTTTTTCTAGGGGGTAGGGAGAGACCAAAATGAATATAACTTAAAATGAAAGTATACTTTTTATAATTTTTCTTTTTAAAACTTTGTGAAATTATTTCAGATACATATTTTAGTGTCAAGGCAGATTAGTTATTTAGCCACCCAAAAAAAGTATTGTGTACAATTTGGGGCAGTCACAAAGTTGTGTATTTTATGTTACAATAAAGGCTTCCTCTGAAGGGATGGTATTGAGTCCTGTTTTTACTTTTTTCTGTCACGTGCCAAGGGAGGGCAGCTTGAACACAGGGATAAGTTTCAAATCATCAGCGTGACCCTGAAAAAGGGAACTGATTGGGTGGTTGGGAGTTGGCAGCCTCAGAGGGCACGTCATTAGCTCTGATGGCAGATGGGGCCTTTCATACCTTCCTGCTCATGTGATGTTTTGAAAATTAGAATGATGGTCTCATCTTCTTGCCTCCTGACTCCAGAAAGCTTGTCCTTTTTTCTTTTCTCTCTTTTTTCCAGCTGCCACACAGGCTGGAGTGCAGTGGCGCGATCTCGGCTCACTGCAAGCTCCGCCTCCTGGCTTCACACCATTCTCCTGCCTCAGCCTCCCGAGTAGCTGGAACTACAAGTGCCCGCCACCACGCCTGGCTAATTTTTTTGTATTTTTTAGTAGAGACGAGGTTTCACCGTGTTAACCAGGATGGTCTCGATCTCCTGACCTTGTGATCCACCCACCTCGGCCTCCCAAAGTGCTGGGATTACAGATGTGAGCCACCGCACCCAGCCGAAAGCTTGTCCTTGAGATTTAGCACATTTAGAGTATCTGACCCTGAGTTCAGCATTGTGTGTGGGATGAGAAATGGTTCCTTCCCGGCAGAGGCTCACAGTTGGAGAAAGGCAGCTACTACAACTGATTATGCTAGGGTATCAGTTCCTGCTGCAATCAAGGCATCCCAAAGTCATTATGCAAAGAACATGCAGGAAGGACACTGCGCAACTCGAAGTTTTTTTGTTTTGTTTTGTTTTGTTTTGTTTTGTTTTAATTGAGTAGCTGGGATTACAGGCGCCACCACTCCTGGCTAATTTTTGTGTTTTCAGCAGAGATGGGGTTTCACCATGTTGACCAGGCTGGTCTCAAACTCACGACCTCAGGTGATCTACCCGCTTTGGCCTCCCAAAATGCTGGGATGACAGGCGTGAGCCACCATGCCCAGCCTGGAGCTGACTCTTAAGGAACAAATAGAGCCGGGCACGGTGGCTCACGCCTGTCATCCCAGCATTTCGGGAGGCCGAGGTGGGTGGATCACCTGAGATCATGAGTTCGAGACCAGCCTAGCCAACATGGTGAAACCCCGTCTCTACTAAAAATACAAAAAAATTAGCCGGGTGTGGTGGCACGCATCTGTAATCCCAGCTACTCAGGAGGCTGAGGCAGGAGAATCGCTTGAACCCGGGAGGCAGAGATTGCAGTGAGCCAAGATCGCGCCGTTGCCCTCCAGCCTGGGCGACAGAGCAAGACTCTTGTCTCAAAAAAAAAGACCCAGCCATTCCACTTGTATGTATCTACATAAGAACAATGAGAACATATATTTACAGAAACACTGATAAATGTTCATAACAGCATCATGCGTAATAGCCAAAGGGCAGAAACAAACAACCCAAATGCCCATCAACTGATGAATAAACAAAATGTATTATGGTATATCTGTACAATGGAATGTACAGCCATAAAAAGGAGTGAAGTGCTGACACACAGGACTACATGGATGAACCTTGACAACATCATGCTAGATGAAAGAAACCAGGCCGGGCACAGTGGCTCATGGCTGGGATTTCAGCACTTTGGGAGGCTGAGGTGAGGGATCACTGAAGTGCAGCAGTTCAAGACCAGCCTGGACAACACAGTGAAACCCCATCTCTACAAAAAGATACAAAAAGTAGCTGGACGTGGTGGTGCACCCCTGTAATCCCACCTACTCAGGAGGCTGAGGTGGGAGGATCACTGTAGCTGTGGTCATGCTACTGCACTCCAGCCTGGGTGACAGAGCGAGGAAAAAGAAAAGTCAAGTACAAAAGACCACATATTATATGATGCCATTTATAGGAAATGTCTAGGATAGGCAAATCTATGGAGACAAAGTAAATTTGAGGTTGCCTAGAGGCTGGGAAGGAGTTTGGAGGTAATAGTGAAAGGATACAGGATTTGGGGTTTTTTGGGGGTTTTGTTTGTTTTTCTTGAGACAGAGTCTCACTCTGTCTCCCAGGCTGGAGCGCAGTGGCGCCATCTCGGCTCACTACAATCTCCGCCTCCCAGTTTCAAGCGATTCTCCTGCCTCAGCCTCCCAAGTAGCTGGGATTATAGGTGCCCGCCACCACGCCCAACTAATTTTTGTATTTTTAGTAGAGACAGAGTTTTGCCATGTTGGCCAGGCTGGTCTTGAACTCCTGACCTCAGGTGATTCACCTGCTTCGGCCTCCCAAAGTTCTGGGATTATAGGTGTGAGCCACCACGCCCAGCCCATGTTTGGGGTATTTTATTTTATTTTATTTATTTAACAAATTGGGCAGTCTCCAGAGGCAGAGTAGGCTCAGAGAGACTCCGCAGGGTTTATTTTTCAGGTAATGAAAATGTTATAAAATTGTCTCTCGTGTTGGTTGCATATATCTCTGGATCTACTAGATTTTGAATTGTACACTAACTGGGTGATTTGTATGGTATGTGAATTATATCTAATAAAGTTGTTATTGGGCCAGGCCTAGTGCCTCACATCTGTAATTCCAGCACTTCGGAAGGCTAAGGTAGGAGGACTGCTGAGACTGGGAGTTCCCGACCAGTCTGGGCAACATAGTGAGACCCCCTGTCTCTACAAAAAAAATTTTTTTAATTAGCTGGGTGTGGTGGCACATGCCTGTAGTCCTGGCCACTCAGAGGCTAGGGTGGGAGGATCACTTGATCCCAGGAATTCAAGGTTGCAATGAGCTGTGACCAGGTCACTGAACTCCAGCCTGGACAACAGAGGGAGACCCTGTCTCTAAATAAATAATAAAAGCAAATGCAAGATCTCAGCAAGAAGAAACGTAAAAGTGAGGTGAGTGAGCCAGAGAGTGAGAACACACCTGTTGAAAGAAGCTCAGCTGTGAAGAGAAGAGAGGTATTCAGCAAGTAGTAGCTCTCTTCTCAAAGTTATCCAGGGGCAAGTGAGGGGAGGAAGGGAGTGGTTTTAGTGTTTTGAGAACCTAGGTCAAGAACACACTAGCCTGGGCAACATGGGGAGGTCCTGTCTCAACAAAAAATAAAATTAGCTGAGTGTAGTGGTGCGTGCCTGTAGTTCCAGCCCCTCGGGAGGCTGAGACAGGAGGATGGCTTGAGCCTAGGAGGTTGAGGTTGCAGTGAGCTATGATCACACCACTGCACTCCAGCCTAGGCAACAGAGCAAGACCCTGTCTCAAAAACAAAACACAGGCCGGGCGCGGTGGCTCACACCTGTAGTCCCGGCACTTTGGGAGGCCAAGGCGGGTGGATCACGAGATCAGGAGATTGAGAGACCATCCTGGCTAACGTGGTGAAGCCCCATCTCTACTAAAAATACAAAAAAATTAGCCGGGCGTGGTGGTGGGCACCTGTAGTCCCAGCTACCCAGGAGGCTGAGGCAGGAGAATGGCGTGAACCCAGGAGGCGGAGCTTGCAGTGAGCTGACCGAGTTTGCACCACTGCACTCCAGCCTCGGTGACAGAGCGAGACTCCGTCTCAAAAAAAAAAAAAAAAAAAAAAAAAAAAGGTTGTAATTTTCCTTGGGGTGAAGGCAATAAGGCTAACACAGATGGTCACCCAATAACCAGGTAAAGTTAAGATAAACTATATGTGACTGGCTGGGTGCAGTGGCTCACGCCTGTAATCCCAGCACTTTGGGAGGCCGAGGCAGGTGGATCACTTGAAGTCAGGAGTTTGAGACCAGCCAGGCCAACATGGTGAAACCCCGTCTCTACTAAAAATACAAAAGATTAGCTGGGTGTGGTGATGCACACCTGTAATCCCAGCTACTCGGGAGGCTGAGGCAGGAGAATTGCTTGAATCTGGGAGGTGGAGGTTGCAGTGAGCTGAGATCGTGCCATTGCACTCCAGCCTGGGCAACGAGCAAAACTCTGCAAAAAAAAAAAAAAGTTTGTAATTTTCCTTGGGATAAAGCCAGTAAGCTAACGCAGATGGTCACCCAATAACCACATAAAGTTAAGATAAACTGTATGTGACTGGCTGGGCATGGTGGCTCACACCTGTAATCCCAGCACTTTGGGAGGCCGAGGAGGGTGGATCACATGAGGTCAAGAGTTTGAGACCAGCCTGGCCAACATGGTGAAACCCCGTCTCTACTAAAAATACAAAAATTAGCCAGGCGTGGTGGCACCTCTGCCTCCTGGTTCAAGCGATTCTCCTGCCTCAGTCTCCCAAGTAGCTGAGATTACAGGCATGTGCCACCACTTCTGGCTAATTTTGTATTTTTAGTAGAGATGGGGTTTCACCATGTTGGTCAGGCTGGTGTCAAACTCCTGACCTCAGATGATCCACCCATCTCAGCCTCCCAAAGTGCTGGGATTACAGGCGTGAGCCACCGTGCCCAGCCGCGTTGGGGTTTTAGGAGTTCTCAAGCTTGAGCCTGCTTGAAGGTAAAGTTTGCCCCTCTCTCAGCTCAAGTGACTTAATGTCGTTCTTTCCCACACACACCTTTCTGTTCCTTCACCTGCAGGACCATGCTAGTCTGGCCCTAACTCCCCGAACTGCCAACTTGAGCTAGCACCTGACCGGCAGTCCCGTAGGCAACCTGCCCCTTTAAGAGCACCCCCCTCCTCCAGCTCCTCCTTCAGGCCTGGCGGCCGGATTTCCCAGTTGGGACCCAGCCCTTTAAAGCCATCGCTCCTTCTTCCTGGCCGGATGTGTGCTGAGACCCAGAGTCACCCAGGGGTCTCCGTCACGTGCCGGGAGTAGGCAGAAGTGGGCTGTGACAGGTGCATGTGGGCATAGACTCCACAGCCCGGGGCTCAGGAGGGACAAGGAGCTGGGACAGGGTGGATCCCGAGAGAAAGCAAAGCCGCTCGGGAGTGGGCGAGAGATGTCGTTACGCAGCTGCTGTGGCCCGATCAACCCTGTGTCAAACCCTTCCTGTGCCTTCCCTTCCGGTGCCTTCTTGTTTTTCTTCTTCTTTTTTTTCTTTCTTTCTTTCTTTTTTTTTTTTTCGTTTGTTTGTTTTTTAGACAAGGTCTTACTCTGTTGCCCAAGCTGGAGTGCAGTGGCATGATCTCAGCTCACTGCAGCCCTGACCTCCTGGGCTCAAGGGATCCTCCCATCTCAGCCTCCCAGGTAGCTGCAACTATGGGTGTGCCACCATGCTGGGCTAGTTTTTCAGTTTTTTGTAGAGATGGAGTCTCCCTATGTTGCTCAGGCTGGTTGCGAACTCTTGGGCTCAAGTGATTCTCCTGCCTCAGCCTCCCAAAGTGCTGGGATTACAGGTGTGAGCCACCTCGCCCGGCCCATCCCTGCCTTCTGAAAGAGGCATTCTTATTCTTACTCCCATTTTGCAGATCAGGAAATGGAGCTCAGTGCAGCCCGCTAAGTTGCTCCGGGCCCTACAATTAACAAGCGGCAGAGGCAGGATCTGAACTCAGGTCAGTGGGACTCCAAAGCTTTGATAGTCTCTCCTCCGCATCACCTGTCCCACAGGGCCCGGCCTTCTTCCAAAACTTCGTGTTTCCTTGGTTTTCCTGTATGCAGTAGAGTGTCGGGGGAGAAATGGGTAATTGCCGCATGCCCCCATATCTGGGTTCCTTCCTCCTCCCAGGAGCTGCTTAGAGATGCTGCTGTGGCCACTCCTGCTGCTGCTGCTGCTGCTGCTGCTGCCAACATTGGCCTTGCTCATGCAGCAGCGGTCCCAGGATGCCAGGCTGTCCTGGCTTGCTGGCCTCCAGCACCGAGTGGCATGGGGGGCCCTGGTCTGGGCAGCCACCTGGCAGCGATGGAGGCTGGAGCAGAGCACGCTCCACGTGCACGAGAGCCAGCAGCAGGCCCTGAGGTGGTGTCTACAGGGAGCCCAGCGCCCCCACTGTTCCTTCACAGGTGTGTTTCCCAGGGTCTGGGGAGGTGACCCAAAGAGAAAGAAATCCCACAGGACCACGAGATTCCAGAGCCTGAAGGCCCCCATACCTCCTCCACTGCCACCCGAGTGGCCTGACACAGAGACCCAGGACTGGCTCTCTTGTCCAAGATGAATTTCCCATGCTGGGTCCTTACAGCCCCTCTTCCCCAGGCCTATTCTCAGTTCCTCCCTCAAGGGTCTCACCAGTCTTGCCTGAAACTCTTGGGAAACTGGCTTCCTGAGGCGTTTCTGTTGTCACTGGGGCTACAGACATAAGCACCTTCCGGAATCATCTCCCTCTGACCAAGGCCAGCCAGACCCAGGAGGAAGAGAATGGAGAGCAGCCACTGCCCCCGACCTCTAACCAGGACCTGGGGGAGGCCTCTCTGCAGGTAATCTAGGATGGCCAGAGCCCTCCCACCAGAGACCTCTGACTTGCAACCAAACCCTCCCATCATGGTGGGCAAAGAACCCTCAAATGGGGGCTCTGGGTCTGGTTCTGACACCAGACCAACACTCTCTTTCCTCCTCCAGGCCACCGTGCTGGGTCTGGTAGCCCTGAACAAGGCCTACCCAGAAGTGCTGGCTCAGGGAGGCACTGCCCGCCTGACCCTTACATCCCCTTGGCCCCAACCCCTGCCTTGGCCTGGGAATACCCTGGACCGGGTGGGCACCCGTGGAACCAAGGACCCCAGGGCCCTGCTGCTGGACGCACTGAGGTCCCCAGGGCTGAGGGCACTGGAGGCTGGGACGGCGGTCGAACTCCTGGATGTTTTCTTGGGTCTGGAGGCTGACGGTGAAGAGCTGGCTGGGGCGATAGCTGCCGGGAACCCTGGAGCACCTCTCCCTGAACGGGCAGCTGAGCTGCGGGAGGCCCTAGAGCAGGGGCCCCGCGGACTGGCCCTTCGGCTCTGGCCAAAGCTGCAGGTGGTGGTGACTCTGGATGCAGGAGGCCAGGCCGAGGCTGTGGCTGCCCTCGGGGCCTTGTGGTGCCAAGGACTAGCTTTCTTCTCTCCTGCTTATGCTGCCTCGGGAGGTCAGTGGGACTCAAGGGCAGTGAGGTGGGGGCAAGGGTCAGAGGTCACATGGCTAACAGCCATGCATTGGGCCCTACATAATCATCTCATTTAATCCTCCCCAACAAGCTGCATGCTAGGGACAGCAGCCTCCTTTCACAAGTGAAGAAATTCAGGCTTACCTAGGTTAAGAGTCTTGTAGCTGGGCGCAGTGGCTTACGCCTGTAATCCGGCACTTTGCGAGGCCAAGGCGGATGGATCACTTGAGGTCAGGAGTTCCAGACCAGCCTGGCCAACATTGTGAAACCCCATCTCTACTAAAAATACAAAAACTAGCGGGGCGTGGTGGTGCGTGCCTATAATCCCAGCTACCTGGGAGGCTGAGGCGGGAGAATTGCTTGAACCTGGGAGGCAGAAGTTGTAGTGAGCTGAGATCGCGCCATTGCACTCCAGCCTGGATGACAGAGCAAGACCCTGTCTCAAAAAAAAAAAAAAAAAAAAAAGGCCGGGGCAGTGGCTCACACATATAATCCCAGCACTTTGGGAGGCTGAGGCGTGTGGATCATCTGAAGTTAGGAATTCGAGACCAGCTTGGTCAATGTGGTGAAACCCTGTCTCTACTAAAAATACAAAAATTAGCCAGGTGTGGTGGCCGGCGCCTGTAATCCCAGCTACTCAGGAGGCTCAGGCAGGAGAACACTTGAACCCAGGACTCACTGAATCACTGAGGCGAGATCGCACCACTACACTCCAGCCTGGGTGACAGAGTGAGACTCTGTCTCAAAAAAAAAAGAGACAGAAAAAAAGAGTCTTGCACAAATTCATGTGACACCGGGATTCACTCCCAGGTCTGCCCCCTCCAGGACCACAGCACTCTGCCTCTTTCCAGTGAGGGCCTAAGAGGCAGCCTGCTGAGCCTAGGAGAGCCAGGAAGGATGCGGTGAAGGGCAGCAGGAGGATCGGGTGCTCAGAGGATCAGGCCTGGGGTCCAGGAGGGGCTACTGCCTGGCAGAGAGCAATGGCACCAGCAGACACTGAGGAGGCTGCTTTGCTTCCACAGGGGTACTGGGCCTAAACCTACAGCCAGAGCAACCCTATGGACTCTACCTACTGCCCCCCGGGGCCCCCTTTATCGAGCTGCTCCCAGTCAAGGAAGGCACCCAGGAGGAAGCTGCCTCCACCCTCCTTTTGACCGAGGCCCAGCAGGGCAAGGAGTATGAGCTGGTGCTGACGGACCACGCCAGCCTCACCAGGTGATCAGCTGCACAGTCCCTGCTACCTGGGGCCCTATGGGACCATGCTGGGGACCTGGCACATGAATTCAGAAGCCCTTGGGCCCGACCTCACTCCCACTTGCACCCCATCAGGTGCCGCCTGGGTGATGTGGTGCGAGTGGTTGGTGTCTACAATCAGTGCCCAGTCGTCAGGTTCATCTACAGGTAGGTGACCCCGGGGAGCTAAAGGGCCATCCTTGTGTCCTGGGCTCCACTGCCTCTCCCTTCCTCCTCTTCAGGCTGGGCCAGACCCTGAGTGTGCGAGGGGAAGATATTGGCGAGGACCTGTTCTCTGAGGCCCTGGGCCGGGCAGTGGGGCAGTGGCCGGGGGCCAAGCTGCTGGACCACGGCTGTGTGGAGAGCAGCATTCTGGGTGAGCTTCCCCACTGGCTCCTGCCTACCATCCTTGGGCTACCCTTCAACTTCTACCTCCTCTGCCAGGGGACTGCTAGGAAAGAGGTAACACTCAGCCTCCTTTACCACTCCTACAAAAGTCCTTCTCTGCATCTAACTCTCATCCATCCTGCTGCAGTCTCTACCCATTTTCTTTCCTGATCTGTCTCCTATTTAGGATCAAACTCTAGGTTCCTCTCCATTTATCCCACTCCCCACCAGGAAACTCTTTTTTCCCTAAAACCTCAGAGTGGGGAAGAACAGATGGGGCAGAGGACACTAGACTTGGCAGTTGCCCATTCACTGGAAGTATGTGTGCACATGGGGTCTGTTCACAGATTCTTCTGCGGGCTCTGCTCCCCACTACGAGGTGTTTGTGGCGCTGAGGGGGCTGAGGAATCTGTCGGAGGAAAATCGAGACAAGGTAAAGGAGACGAGGACAGGGTCTGACTGTAGAGCCCTTCACTCTGCACACTCCCAGGGTGCGTGGAGATCAGGGCTGATGGGGAGGAGAGCGGCAGCAGAGGGGAAGCTCCCTGGGGCTCTGGGAGGGGAGCGCTGAGTCCCACAGACACACACCTGTCCACGCAAAACTTCTAAACACATGTAGCCTGGACACAGCCACACATACCTCGTGTGCACACTCATGGTCACACACCAGCTCACTCACGCTGTTCTGTTCCCAGCTGGACCACTGCCTTCAGGAAGCCTCTCCCCGTTACAAGTCCCTGCGGTTCTGGGGCAGCGTGGGCCCTGCCAGAGTCCACCTGGTGGGGCAAGGGGCCTTCCGAGCACTCCGGGCAGCCCTCGCTGCCTGCCCCTCCTCCCCGTTCCCGCCTGCGATGCCCCGGGTCCTTCGGCACAGGCACCTGGCCCAGCGCCTGCAGGAGAGGGTGGTGTCCTGAGTCAAGGCCTGCCCCACTACCCAGCTTCCCCCAGAGGCCACCTTGCTCCTCCCTCTGGGACCTCTCTGGATGGGGAGTCCTTGGCCGGGGTTTCTGACTCTGTCACCTGACATTTGCCCATGAGAGCCACTGGACCTTAGGGAGGCCTTGGCCCAGCTGACTAGTTCTAAGGTATGGGCCTCTGGGGTTAGTAGACGCCAGCAGTGCCTGCCCGTGTCCCTGTGTCCAGGCATGGAGGACACTGCTAGAGAGTTACCATGCACACCAATGGTTTCCTGTATCACAGCCCAAGGGGGTTCTCTGGCAGCCACAGCTGTGTGCTCAGTCAGTGCACTGGGCAAGCTGGAAGTGTCGGGGGGTTAATGTCTCCAGGAGCAACCCTGAGTCAATAAGGAGCAGGACCTCAGCTTCACTGTCCTTGAGCAGGACAATTCTGAAGTGTATTCTACATAAACTCTCAGAGGATGCCCAGCAGGATGGCGTCCCAGTTGCCCACAGCAGTAACCCACTCATTCATGTACTTCCTGCTCCTCCCTTCCCTCTCTTCCCCACTCCGCACTTGGGCTTCCTGGGATGGCTCCCAAATAAACCTCTTGCACCCAGATTCTTGCCTCAGAGTCTGCTTTGGGGAAACTGGGGAGTGGAGCCAGCCCCGCCATTCCCTCACTGAGCTCCAGGACTTTCCCCCAACATTCTGGTCTGGGCCTGGCGAGGCTGCACGTGCACACAGGAGCCTTTGGGGGCTCCGAGCACATCCCAGGCCAGCACCCACAAACCACTTCTGCGGTGGGGAAGGAACAGCTATTTTTCACATCGTAAGGCGTTGTCCCAGGAAGCAACCCCAGAGACCATCGGGGTTCACTGTTCCATACCAATGAGGAAACACAGCCTCCACAAGGTTGTAGAGGCTAAAATAAAAGAAAAAAAGAAACTGGGCTAGGTGTTGGCTTCCTTCCCTCCCACTGTCCGGGCTGAGTTTTTAAGGTTTTCCATCTTGGAGGCTGGTGGGAGGGGCAGACCAAGACCCTGCAGCTCCTCCTAAGTCAAGGCAGCACCAGTTCCAGATGCCTTTGAATGACTTCTCCATTCCATGTCCTACATCCAGGGCCTCGCTGCATACCCACCCGGCCCCCACCTCAGCCTGTCACTCCATCCTATTAAAATCTTCCCATGAAGCTGGGCACAGTGGCATGGGCCTGTAGTCCCAGCTACTCAAGAGGCTGAGGTGGAAGGATGGCTCATGCTCAGGAGTTCAAGACCAGCCTGGGCAACACAGCGAGACCATCTCGAGAAAAAAAAAAAAAATCCTCCCATGGTAGCCCCCATCACCCACAGGATTCAGACCAACCAGCTTGGCCTATTAGACCCTTTGACCTTGGCCCTCACCTACATGTCCAGCTGCCTCTCTCCCCTTGCTGGAAAGAAGGCCTGGACTAAGGACCACACCTCACCTCCCATCTAAGGGTTGTTAAGCACTGTCAACTCCAGGATTTTGCTCAAGTGGTCCCTTCTATGTAATGCCCTCCATCCCCCTGCCCCTGATGTAAACTAGCTTTCATGCAAGGCCTTTGAGGACCCCCTACCAGGCCCACCCCAGGCAGAGTGACTGGCTCAACTTTGCTCACGTGGGCAGAAGTCCTCTCCTTCACCAAACTATCCTTATGCCTGAACTGCCTCCCACCTGGAATGATGAGCTCCTTGGAAACTGGGCCAGGTCCTGTGCACAGTTGCCCCCGTGCCCAGTGCCTGGTGTAGCACACAGCAGGAGCTCAATAAAGAGGTTGTAGGCCAGGCACCATGGCTCATACCTGTAATCCCAGCACTTTGGGAGGCCGAGGCAGTCAGATCACCTGAGGTCAGCAGTTCGAGACCAGCCTGGCCAACATGGTGAAACCCTGTTTCTACTAAAAATACAAAAAAATAGCTGGACATGGTGATGTGAACCTGTAATCCCAGCTACTTGGGAAGCTGAGGCAGGAGAATCGCTTGAACCCAGGAGGTGGAGGTTGCAGTGAGCCAATGTGCCTTTGCACACTAACTTGGGCAACAAGAGTGAAATTCTGTCTTCAAAAAAAAAAAAAAAAAGAGGTTGTGAATAAGAGAAGCTTAGACCTGGAGATGACATGTGTTCTTCACTGCATGGTGGCTCACTCCGTGGTGACTGTAGAGTGGGACTACATCCCTCCCCTCCAGGTAGCCTGAGCCAGGGAGAAAGCTGGGGAGGTAGAAGTTTTCTATCAGCTTCTGGTAGAAACCGAGTTTGGTCAGGCACAGTAGCTCACAGCTGTCATCCCAGCACTTTGGGAGGCCAAAGGGGGAGGATGACTTGAGCCAGGGATTTGAGACCAGCCTGAGAGACCCAGTCTCTACAAACAAATTTAAATATTAGCCAGGGATGGTGGCACGCATTTGTGGTCCCAGCTGCTTGTGTAGCTGTGGTGAGAGCACTGCTTGAGCCCTGGCATTCGGTGCTGCAGTGAGCAATGGTTGTCCCACTGCACTCCAGCCTGGGCAACAGAGTCAAACCTTGTCAAGAAAGAAAATAAAGAAAGAGAGAAGGCCAGGCATGGTGGCTCATGCCTATAATCCCAGCACTTTGGGTGGCTGAGGCAGGCGGATCACCTGAGGTCGGGAGTTCAAGACCAGCCCCACCAACATGGAGAAACCCTGTCTCTACTAAAAATACAAAATTAGCCGGGCATGGTGGCGCATGCCTGTAATCCTAGCTACTCAGGAGGCTGAGGCAGGAGAATCACTTGAACCCTGGAGGTGGAGGTTGCAGTGAGTCGAGATTGCGCCATTGCACTCCAGCCTGGGCAACAAGAGCGAAACTCTGTCTCAAAAAAAAGAAAGAAAGAAAGAGGGAGAGAGTGAGAGAGAGAAAGAAAGAAATGCAAGAAGGAAGGAAGGAAGGAAGGAAAAAAAAAAAAGAGGATAGGTGCGGTGGCTCACACCTATAATCCCAACACTTTGGGAGACCGAAGTGGGTGGATCACTTGAGACGACCCTGGCCAACATGGTGAAACCCCATCTCTATTAAAAATACAAAAATTAGCTGGTTGTGGTGGTGTGCACCTGTAATTCTAGCTATTCAGGAGGCTGAGGCAGGAGAATCACTTGAACCCAAGGCAGAGGTTGCAGTGAGCCAAGATGATCATACCACTGCACTCCAGCCTGAGCGACAAGACCAAAATTTAGTCACACATACACACACACACACACACACAGAGAGAGAGAGAGAGAGAGAAAGAGAGAGAGAGAAAGAAAGAGAGAAGAAAGAGAAATTGGGCTTGGTTTTAGCTTCTTACCTCCTACTGCCTAGGCTGGGTTTTCAAAGTTTTCCATATCAGAGGCTAGTGGAAGGGGCAGAAGGGGAGAAGAAAGCTAGGGGGAGGGGGGCAGCTAAGGAACCTTTCCATGAAGGAAGAAGGTCCTGGAGCCTAACAGTCCCCAGGGGCAGTGACAAGAAGCAGGGGAGGGAGAGGACTGCTGCTGGCTGCTCCACCCCCTACACACAGAATGTGGGGTCTTGCGCGTCTGCCTCTCTCCTGCCCCTAATTAGTAGCTGCCTCCCTCCATATTGTCCCAGGCCAGCGCCTCTTTTGTGCTCCCAGATGCCTGGGTGCAAGGTGGCCTCATTAGTGCCCGGAGACCGCCCCATCTCCAGGGAGCAGGCGGACAGACAAGGGGGTGATTAGGGGCACAGTGATCCAACCCTGGCCTCTGAATGCAGCAGCGGCCATTCCTTGGGCCCAGCCTGGAGACGGCCCCCCTGCAGGAGGCTAATCTTAGACTTGCCTTTGTCTGGCCCGGGTGTGGACGCAAGTGCCTGTCAATTCCCTGCCACCTCAGAGCACTATAAACCCCAGACCCCTGGGAGAGGGTCACAATCGACAGCCTCAAGGTTCCTGGCTTTTTGAACCACCGCAGACATCTCCTTTCCCGGCTGCCCCACCCTGAGCACCAGATACCATGAACCTTCCTTCCACAAAGGTAAAGACCCAGGGACGGAGGGGTGATTCACCATCCTGGAGAAGCAAAACTAGCGCTTGCTCAGAGGGCTGGAAGAAAGGCCGAGGGTGTCTCCACTCTTGGTCTTTTCCCGGGTGTGCTCTGAGGCAGGAGCACCTGCCTTGGCTCACACTGGGTTGGGTGCTGTTTTGCTAAGAGCCTGTGTTTGCTGAGCTCTTACTGTGTGTCAGGTGCTCTGTTTGCTCTTTTTTTGGTCAGCTCTTTTCATCCTCCCAGCAGCCCTGCAGAGCAGGAATTATTTCTAGTATACCCAGTTTACAGGTAAGGGAGCTGTGCCCTCCAAAAGGGCAGGAAACTGTTTCAAAGCCACGGAGTTCAGTTACTCCAGAAAGGGGGCAGGCAGATGGGACAGCATTCTGGAGTCTTGCTAGCTCCTGATTTCCACGTGTTTCCCTGCTGTGGAGAGGAGGTGGCGGGCACTCAGTAGGGCCCGGTTTTCCCCAAGTTTACAACTTCTTCTGCAGACAGACACGCCTGTTTTCAGGTGGAGTGGTAAGTGCCCTAGTGGGGGCACAGTGGCCTAAGTCTCCAGAGGAGAGGGGGATTCACTCTGCCCAGGGGGTCTCAAAAGGCCTCCTGGAGGAGATGCTCTGCTGGATCTTGAAGGAGGAGCAGGTAAAGTAGCCCGATACCACCAAGGGCGCAAATCTAGGAGAACTAAGTGACAGCCAGAGAGAAGTGCAGGCCCGGAGGGGGCGCGGAGCCAGCAGGGTAGGTCCTGGGCGTGGGAGCTTGTGGCGGGCCCCGTGGGAAAACCCCTAGCGCCCTGTCTCCGTTCCCCTAGGTCTGCTGGGCCGCCGTGACGCTACTGCTGCTGCTGCTGCTGCTGCCGCCCGCGCTGCTGTCGCCCGGGGCGGCTGCACAGCCCCTGCCCGACTGCTGTCGTCAAAAGACGTGCTCCTGCCGCCTCTACGAGCTGCTGCATGGCGCGGGCAATCACGCGGCCGGCATCCTCACGCTGGGCAAGCGGCGATCCGGGCCCCCTGGCCTCCAGGGTCGGCTGCAGCGCCTCCTGCAGGCCAGCGGCAACCACGCCGCGGGCATCCTGACCATGGGCCGCCGCGCAGGCGCAGAGCCAGAGCCTCGCCCCTGTCTCGGGCGCCACTGTCCCGCTGCGGCCGCCACATCCGTCGCGCCCGGGGGACAGTCCGGGATCTGAGTCTTTCTTCGGGCCCTGTCCTGGCCCAGGCCTCTGCCCTCTGCCCACCCAGCGTCAGCCCCCAGAAAAACGGCAATAAAGACGAGTCTCCATTCGTGTGACTGGTCTCTGTTCCTGTGCGGTCGCGTCCTGCCCTTATGGGGCGGCAGAGCATCTTGCGGAGGGCGGGAGGGCCTGGAAGCCCGGCTCTGAGGCACCAGCCTTGGCTTTTGCCTGGCTGAATCGAAAACACTCTTGGTTGGGGAGCTCCCAGTGCAAGGCCGTGGGGCACAGAGATAACTGCACAGGTGCATGCTTGGATCGGGGCATGCGGGACCCCCACGATGCTCTGCTAGGCATTCTGTAGCGGGGACTTCACCCAGAGATGCGGAAGGGGAAGGAGAGCGAGAAAGGTTGCAACCGGTCGGTTGCAGCGCTCACGCCTGTAATACCAGCATTTTGGGATGCCAAAGCAGGAGGATCGCTTGAAGCAAGGAGTTCGAGACGAGCCTAGGCAACATAGTGAGTGAGACATCTCTCCAAAAAGTTTTTTTAATTAGCGGGGTATGGTGGGCGAGAGAATCGCTTGAGCCCAGGAGTTTGAGTCTGAGCCATGATTGGGCCACTGCGCTCCAGCCTGGGCGACAGAACGAGACATTGTCCAAAAAAGAAAAGAAAAGAAAAAGAAAAGCAGAAAGGAAAGGAAAGGAAAGGAAGGCAAGCTGCATAGAGGAGCAGAATCCAGCTAGGAAGGGGTGGGAGTCAATCCTGCTGAAAAGGCAGGGAATATGAACTTCAACAATGAGTCATCCAGAATGGTTGCATCATGGGGTATAGGGTGTGGGGAGTGGAGAGGCTCAGGAAGCAACACGGTTACAGTCAGTGCAGCCCAGCTCCAAAGGCTCTCACAAATCATCAGGCTTTGCACTTTATCTTGTAGGTAACAGAGGCATAGGACATTCTTAAGCAGGAGCAGGACAAGATTTTACTGCAACTCCAGTCAAAGACACCTGTTACTGGTGTTTCCAAAATCCATATATTGAAGTCCTTACCCGTGGCACTTCAGAATGTGGCTGTATTTGGAAATAAGGTCCTTCCAGATGCAATTAGCTAAGATGAGGTCATACTAGAGTGGGGTAGGACCTCTAATCCACTGTGACTGGCGTCCCTATAAAAAAGGGAATTTGAACACAGAAACGCACACAGGGAGAACCTATGTGAACATGAAGGTAGAGATTGGCTCCTACAAGCCAAGAAACACCAAAGATTGCCAGCACCCACCCCCACTTCCTCTAGAAGATAGGGGAGAGGCATGCAACAGATTCTCCCTCACAGCCTTCAGAAGGAACCAACGCTGCCTTCACCTGACCTTGCTTGGACTTCTAGCATCCAGAACTGTGAGACAATAGGTTTCTGTTGTTTGAGCCACCCACTTTGTGGTACTTTGTTATGGCATTCCTAGGAAACTAATAAAACATCCAAAAGTAGAGACACAGGCTGAGCTTGGTGGTTCATGCGTATGATCCCAGCACTTTGGGAGGCTGAGGTGGGCGGATCACTTGAGGTCAGGAGTTCAAGACCAGCCTGGCCAACATGGCAAAACCCCATCTCTACTAAAAATACAAAAATTAGCTGGGCATTGAAATGCACGCCTGTGATCCCAGCTACTAGGGAGGCTGAAGCAGGAGAATTGCTTGAACCCAGGAGGCAGAGGTTACAGTGAGCTGAGATCACGCCACTGCACTCCAGCTTGGGCGACAGAGCAAGACTCCATCTCAAAAACAGCAAGAACAACAATAACAACAACAAAAGTAGAACACAGAAAAATGCAGCCCTTCTTAGCAATCTAACATCCCAGATAATACCTAGCTCAGAGGGTGGGGAGAATTTAGCCTGCCCTCCTTGCCCATTGGGGCTCCCACGTTCACTGGCTTCAGCTGTTTTGTCGTGGGAAGCAGCCAGCCTCAGCCACAGAACTCAGCTGCCTCAATTTTCTGCATAGATAGTGAGAAAGTCCTGTGTCTAGTCTCACTTTGGTCCCTCTTGCTGCTGTACCTCTTCCATCCTGGAGAAATCAGAGATCAAAGTTCACCTGTGCACCCTTGGAGATTTGCAAACCGACTCTGCCCACCTCAAAACTATCTTTTTCAGAGGTAGTTTCTCCCAAACTTGCCTCCAGCCTCTCTTCCAGTTGAAGGGCAGCAGAGAGGAGGATTAAGACAGTAGGAAGAGGGAAAACAGGGAGGCAACTGTCCTCCAAGGCACTTATTTTGTGCCAACGACATGCATTACGGTATTACATTCTCACGGTAACTGCATCAGGTAAGAATTATCAGCTCCATTTTACAGATGAGGAAAGTGGGGCTTGGAGAGGCTATCAAACGATTAGTGGCTAGAGCTGGGACTCTACCTGGTGGACTCCAAAGCTCTTTTCATTCCACCATGCTGTGTGCTCAGTAGGCAGAGTTCGCCAGGGTGTCTTGGGAAAACTGAGGAAGGAGGCAAGAGTTGGTGGTGCTTTCTAGAGTTGGGGTTTCAAGCCTTCTCATCATCCATTCTCTACCAGCAAACTAGCCTCTTAACCCTTGCTATCTCACACTGGAGCTACTGGCCTGGGGATGCTGCGAAATATCTCAACTCCAGCAGGCGGCACTGTGAACCAGACACCAGCCCAGAGTGGACGGCGCGCGGGAAAACCCGCGAGGTGGAGCCACAGGGAGCAGCCAGGGAACCACGTGTGGGGGCGTGGCCACCCTGGAAGAGGGCGAGTCTGTTATGCAAGACCCGCCCATCATTTCAGGCCTCCCCTCCCAGTGGGCGTGCCCCGAATTCTCTCCCCGAGAGACACGCGTGGGCCGCTCCCCTCTGGGAGGAGGGCTGCCCAGAGGGGTGCAGGTGTCGCTAGCGGCCCCTCCCCGTGTGGGGCCACGTGGCGGGTGCGGGCCGAACCCGAGGGGAAGAACCTGGCCCGTGGGGAGGTGGGGGGGGACCGAAGCGGCGCTGAGCGGAGCCGAGAGCTACGGGGTTCGGAGCAGAGGCGGCCACAGCGGCAGCGGCAGTAAGAGGGAGGGGAGGAGGCAGGCGGGCGCATGGGGCGCCCCGGCCCCTCCGGCAGCGTGCCCCCTCCGGCCCGGCCGCGCTGAAAGCTACCCAGCGCCGCGCCTTGAACCCACGCCCCGGGGCCATGCCGGTCATGAAGGGGTTGCTGGCCCCGCAAAACACCTTCCTGGACACCATCGCCACCCGTTTTGACGGAACGCGTGAGTGGGACGGAGGTCGGGGCTTGGGGTTCAAGCTGGGGGCCAAGTCTCCTCGAGGCCGTCTCGGGTCTCCTGGACGTGGTGAGACCCGAGGCTAGAGGAAAGAATGGAGTTAAGGGTCTAGGAACTCCCAAAGCCGCGGTGCAGGAACAGGGCGGGGAGTGCCCTGCGAGGGGAGGAGGGGAAAGGGCCGAGAGCACGGGGTCCAAGGTTAGGGGGTGTGACTAGAGGCAGAAGAGGCTCTTTGTGCGGCAGAGCGGAGGAGGGGCCTTGGGAGCCGCCCACTCTCGGGCAGAGCTGTGCTGGGGGCGTGTATGGGGGTATCCGAGACACAGAAGTGGGACAAAGTGGCCGGGCGTTCTGGGGACTCCAGCTCCCACTACCTCCAGAGAAAAAGGAGAAAAGATCAGACTTCAGCAGGACCTAGTTTGGATTGACGTAGCGCGCCCCCAAATCGTGGGGCGTCAGTGTCTAAGGTGGGTGAGGCAGGAGGAGGGGAGCGGTCTGTGCGATGGTAGGAACTCCCGGCTCGCCCAACGCAGCTTGGGTTTCAGGTTCAGCACCTTGGACAGCCGCATCACTCCTTCCCCGCCTCTTCTCCCGCCATTCCCTCTTCCCACTCTGGAGCCCAGAGATTCCCCGTCCTCACCTCCCCCAACCCTGCCATTCCCCCGGGAACCCTGGCCGGGATCTGGAGGGTGAGGGAGCGGTACTCGAGGGCGGAAACTGAGCCGCGGGGCCCTACCCGCTTCCCCCCCCTTGTTTCCATAGCGCCCATCACCGGGGCAACAGGCCCTGGGATGGAAGAAGGAGGCAGTGCCCAGAGCCCAGTGCCTCCCAGGCACCTTCAGTGTCCCCATTAGCCTCCCTGCCCCCAGACAGTCATCCCTCCTAGAGTACCAGGACTGGTTGTGTCACAGGCCCCATCTCTTAGCTGAGTCTCTGTCCCTGAATGGCCCACAGGAGACCCCTGGCCTCCCCCGCATTGGAGCTGGAGGAAGACAGCTCGGGTTCTGCTGCTGGAGGGTGCTGGAGCTATATGCTCAATGCCCTCTCCCGTTAGACTTTGAGCACTGGGGCAGTTCCCCTGAAAGCAGCTACAAGAATGCTAAAAAGTGGACCTTTCCTGGAAGGCAGGGAAAGAGGACACCACTCATCACTGTCTGCCCCCACACTAAGGAGATCTGTGAGTTTGGATAATCTCTGCCTTTTGGTTTCCTATCAATAAAATGGGTGTGGTGTCATCAGAAACTCTGCCCTGCTTACTCTATAATAGGAAGAAAGCCGAGCGAATGTGGGGGAACAATTTCACCTTCTCAGAGTAGCACTTACTATGTGCTAGGACTTGTTCTCCCCAAGTTAGCTCATGTAACTCTCACAACGACCATGTGAGGAAGGCCTATAGATACCCAACTTTGCAAATAAGGAAAGCTCAGGCACAGAAGAGGTCATCAACTTGCCCAAAGTCACACAGTCAGTAAGTGGCAGTGGAGGGTTGCAGGAGCCCAGGCTCTTAATCACCATGCTATGCTGCCTTCTACAGTGACCGCTCACCAGTTGGAAGGCAGGGGGGTGGATGGCATGACCTCCTGGGGTCCTTCTCCAACTCCCCATTAGACCCTGCTTAAGTCCTGTCTTAAGTTCTTGTCTCTTTGCTCTACCTTCTCCTATTCTCAATTCAGAAAATCCCAAAGTGGGGTCAGGAGCAACATGGAGACCTGGGAAGCTTCTGGCTCTGTGACTTCTAACCCCAACTTAAGGGAGGTGCTGTCCACCTGGAAGCTAGCTCGCCTCCCAGCCTTGACCTGACCTTGACCTATTCTTCCCACAGACAGCAACTTCCTGCTAGCCAACGCACAGGGCCCACGGGGCTTTCCCATCGTCTACTGCTCTGACGGCTTCTGCGAGCTCACGGGCTACGGTCGCACTGAAGTCATGCAGAAGACCTGCAGCTGCCGTTTCCTCTATGGCCCAGAGACCAGTGAGCCAGCCCTGCAGCGTCTGCACAAAGCCCTGGAGGGCCACCAGGAGCACCGCACTGAAATCTGCTTCTACCGCAAGGATGGTGAGGGGGCCCACCCCACCCTGCAGCCCTGCCTAGACCTCTAGCCTTATCCAGAGGGCACTGGGCACAGTAGGAGTCTGAGTGCTTGTCCCCACACTGCCACAAGCTGACTGTGACGGCGCATATCCCTGACCTCTCTGGTCCTGGGTTCCCCTATCTGAAAGATGAAGGAGACGGCTGACAGAATCTCTGAGGTTCCTTTCGGCTCTTGCTTTGCCAAGCTCTTAACTATGTATAGGAGGATGAGGGGGATGAGGAGAAAGGCATGCCACGGGGCTGCCCATGCTCCTCCCTCCCTCTCTCCATGCCTACAGGCTCGGCCTTTTGGTGCCTCCTGGACATGATGCCCATCAAGAATGAGATGGGGGAGGTCGTGCTGTTCCTCTTTTCCTTCAAGGATATCACTCAGAGTGGAAGCCCAGGACTTGGCCCCCAAGGAGGCCGCAGGGACAGTAATCATGGTAACGGCAAGTCTGGATGGGCAGTGTGAATGGTCAGAAGCCCTCGCCCACCCAGCCGCATGAGATGTGCCCCAACATATCTCTGCACCTTTCTTCCCAACAGAAAACTCCCTTGGTAGAAGGGGAGCCACCTGGAAATTTCGGTCTGCCAGAAGACGGAGCCGTACTGTCCTACACCGACTGACCGGCCACTTTGGCCGCCGGGGCCAGGGAGGCATGAAGGCCAATAATGTGAGTCCCACCCCCAACCCAACATCTCCCAAGTCCTCCAGCCTTGATTCTGAGGCACCCCTGCTACTGTCTCCCTGCTTCCCTGTTTGTCTGGTGTCCCTCCTTGGCTCGCTCCTCTGCCCACCCATTTCCCATACACTACTCTCTGCTCCATCCTATATCCTCCCCTCACATCCTTCTATCCTTCACTCCCTCACTCCCTTAGGTGATTGACATTACTTTGCTCTGATGATGTCACATTGCTCCAGCAGCAATGACCTCACCTGCCCGGGGATGATAGGGTTATACCATGGGTGGTGAAATCGCAAGCTGCTATAGTTCTAGGGAGAAAGCCTTCATTGCAGGTCTGGCATCTAGACCTGTGTACCACCTCTTAGGATCCTGACCAAGCCAGGGGATTGAGTCCCCAACCCTCTGTTAGGGATACAGGGAATGCGGTGGGCTATGCCAGCCTCTGCTCCCTGCTGGGATATGCCCAGCCCCCACTGGGCCCCCAGAATCCAAGAGGAACTTAAGGGAGAAGTTTGTGATCCCTCAAGCTAGGGCGTGTGCCGATTTGTCACAGTCTTCTTCTCAAGTAGGATGAGTGTTGGGCCAGGCACAGTGGCTCATGCTTGTAATCCCAGCACTTTGGGAGGCCAGGGCAGGAGGATTGCTTGAGGCCAGGAGTTCTAGACCGGCCTGGACAACATAGTGAGACCCCTTCTCTAAAAAAAAAAAAAAATTAAAAATTATCTGGAGGCCAGGCACAGTGGCTGACGCCTGTAATCCCAGCACTTTGGGAGCCTGAGGCAGTCAGATCACCTGAGGTCAGGAGTTCAAGACCAGCCTGACCAACATGGAGAAACCCCATTTTTACTAAAAATACAAAGTTAGCCGGGTGTGGTGGCACATGCCTGTAATCCCAGCTACTCGGAAGGCTGAGGCAGGAGAATCACTTGGACCCGGGAGCCAGAGGTTGCGGTGAGCCGAGATCACGCCATTGCACTCCAGCCTGGGCAACAAGAGTGAAACTGTCTCAAAAAAAAAAAAGTATCTGGGTATGGTAGTGCATGCCTGTGGCTCCAGCTACTCTGGAGCCTGAGGCAGGAGGATCGCTTGAGCCCAGGAGTTTAAGGCTGCAGTAAGTTATGATGGTACCACTGCACTCCAGCCTGGGCACAGAGGGAGACCTTGTCTCTAAACTTAAAAAGTTTAAAATCAAGTTGGGTGAGTGTCAAGCCTTATAAATACCCCTGACAAGCCATGATTGGTTCAAACAGGGGCCTCGGGCCGTGCACAGTGGCTCATGCCTGTAATCCTAGCACTTTGGGAGGCTGAGGTGGGTGGATCACCTGAGATCAGGAGTTTGAGACCAGCCTGGCCAACGTGGCGAAAACCCGTCTCTACTAAAAATACAAAAAGTAGTCAGGTGTGGTGGCATGCTCCTGTAGTCCCAGCTATTCAGGAGGCTGTGGCAGGAGAATTGCTTGAACCCGGGAGGCAGAGGTTGCAGTGAGCCGAGATTGCGCCACTGCACTCCAGCCTGGGCAAAGAGCAAGACCCCATCTCAGAAAAAAAAAAAAGAAAGAAAGGAGGGGGGCCTGGGAAGTACTTGGCAGGAGAAGAGAATGTCAGGTGTCAGCCTCTATGCCCCTCTCCTGGCCTTCTATCTCCTTTCATTCATGGTCGAAAGTGCCTTTGCAGTGTCCACCTGTCCCCTTTCCCCATCCCCTGCCTTTCCCACCCTCCATCTTGGCTCCTCTTTCCCTCAAGTGTCCCCAATCGCCACCCCTCTCCCCTTAGAACGTGTTTGAGCCAAAGCCATCAGTGCCCGAGTACAAGGTGGCCTCCGTGGGGGGGTCTCGCTGCCTCCTCCTCCACTACAGCGTCCCCAAGGCCATCTGGGACGGCCTTATCCTCCTTGCTACCTTCTACGTTGCGGTCACCGTCCCCTACAACGTCTGTTTCTCGGGTGACGATGACACCCCCATCACTTCGCGACACACCCTTGTCAGCGACATCGCCGTGGAGATGCTCTTCATCCTGGGTCAGAGCCTCTGCCTCACCCACCCTGGCGGGTTGGCTGGGGGAATCCACTTGGCCAAGCCTCACCCACTCCTGGGGCCCGCATGACCCAGGCATTCAGAGCCCCTCCCTTCCTGCATCTTTAAGTCCCAATGGCCCATGTGTCCTGCTTCCTGCAGCCTTCAGCCTTGTGACCTGTCTTCCCTAAGGACCAGCCAGAAGCCCAATCTATCTCTCCATGCCTGCCTCCTCCTCCAGTCTGGGTCTCCAAAGCTTGTTCCCAGCTTTTTTTGGTTTCTTGATCCCTTGGCCAAGGCCCCCCAGTAATAGCCTCTTGCACCCCCAGATATCATCCTGAACTTCCGCACCACCTATGTGTCCCAGTCTGGCCAGGTAATCTCTGCTCCTCGTTCCATTGGCCTCCACTACCTGGCCACCTGGTTCTTCGTCGATCTTATTGCTGCTCTGCCCTTTGATCTGCTTTACGTCTTCAACATCACCGTGGTGAGTGACCTCCATCCCACCATCCAGTCCAACCTCCCAACTTCAGCACAGCATCTTCCAGGAAGGGACTGATCCCAAACCCAGATATGCCCCTTCCCATCAATCCATCTGTAGATATTTATCAGGCACCTGCTCTGGGCATAGCCGTGCGCTAGGTACCGGGAGGATCCCGGAGGGTCTATGATTCTGGGGAGCTCAGCTCACAATCTTTGAGGGAAGCTGAGACAAATGAAAAGCTAACTATGGCTACCAAGGCGGCATTGGTCTGATGCCAAATGAGTGGTACTTTTCACTTTTTTATTTAACAAACAACTGATGAGCATTTAGCTGTCTGCAAAGCACTGTGTGGGGCATGGCCACTGTGGGGAAAGGGAACAAGGATTCAGCCTCTAAACAACTAAACTGGTGAGGGGGCAGGAATACTGCAGAGCACAGCAGGGACAGAAGAGGTGAATGGGGGTGGAAGATGGGGCCCGGGTATGCTACTGAGGGTTTGGGCTGACCTTGGAGTTCCAGGCTGGAACATGAGTGTGTGTTAAAATGATCTGAAGTCTGGCCAGCACCTGGGAAGCAAAAGCGTACTTGCTGGGCAGAGGCTGGAGGGGTCTGGGAAGGTTTCCTGAGGGAGGCGGGAGTATAGCTAGACCTTAAAGGGTGAGTAGGATTTAGCTGGCAGGAGATGAGGACAGCAAGCATTTGGGGGAGCATAGTAAACCTAGACAAGAAGGTAGAGGCTGTGGGTGAATTCAGAGGCAAAGAATGCCAGGACCTGAGTCCTCACAGATCCCTGGGGACACTCTAGAGGTGCCCTGAGTGGTCATCTGTAGCCCCAGCCAGCAGATAGTAGGTCTTCTCAAGTCCAGGGTGGGGCAGTGCTACCCTGTGTCCCCAGGCCCCCTTGGGTGTGGGGCGGGGAAGTGGGGAGCAGTTTCCTTGTGTGCTCTCTCCCTGCACTCAGCTATAGCAGGAAACCACCTACACGCAGCCGAATTTAACTAGCCGCCAACGGGCTGTGGGCCTCCTCTCCTGGCTGTGCACACGTGTGTGCGCGCTCCCACACACGTGCATGTGTGTACGTCTGCCTCGAGGCTCTGACCATTCTGAGAAGATCTCCCCACCCCTCCCCAGGAGTGCGCCCACCCCTCTATGCCCACTAGGCACCATCAGCTGGGGGGTGGGAGACTGCAGAGAGCCCCCTGCCCCTCCTCTCAGGTCCCTTTGGGAGCACGTTACAGTTCACTACATTCTTGCACACACATCATCACATGGGACCCCCACAGGGACCCTTCAGGGCAGATCCTTATCCTTTTTCAGAGGTAGGTGCAGAGGCTCAGAGAGGTTCAGTGACTTGCTGAAGGTCACATAGCTAGCAGGGGCAGGCAGGAGATTAGAACCAGGTCTCTCCACCCTGGGCAACAGGTGAAACCCTGTCTCTACTAAAACACAAAAAATTAGCGGGAAGTGGTGGCGTGTACCTGTAGTCCCAGCCACTCGGGAGGCTGAGGCATAAGAATCGCTTGAGTCCCAGAGGCAGAGGTTGCAGTGAGCCCAGATAGCTCCACTGCACTCTAGCTTGGCCGGACGCAGTGGATCACGCCTGTAATCCCAGCACTTTGGGAGGCCGAGGCGGGCGGATTACGAGGTCAGGAGATCGAGACCATCCTGGCTAACATGGTGAAGCCCCGTCTCCACTAAAAATACAAAAAATTAGCCAGGCGTGGTGGTGGGCGCCTGTAGTCCCAGCTACTCGGGAGGCTGAGGCAGGAGAATGGCGCAAACCCGGGAGGCGGAGCTTGCAGTGAGCTGAGATCCGGCCACTGTACTCCAGCCCGGGCGACAGCGCCAGACTCCGTCTCAAAAAAAAAAAAAGAATCAGTTCTCTAAACTTCCAGTCTAGTATTTTTTCCAACATACCACCTTGCTTCCCAGGTAACCAGGGCCCCTGAGTGGATGGTCTGATGAGATGAGGAATACCACTGGGGGCCAGAGAGAGGTAGGACAGAGACAGAAGATGAGCAGGCACTGGCAGAGCTGCAGACTTGAAGGAGCCAGGCCTGGATATTCTAGTCCAAGGAGAATGAGAGGAGTATCCCCAAGAGAGTGGGGCCCAAGGGCAGTTGACTGAGGGAAGCCCTGAAGAACTCCAGCTTGCAGTCAAGTGCTCTGGGAGCTGGGGGTAGGCATTAAACCCTGGCGAGGGTCCATGTGGAGGAATCAGAGCCACCTCCTTTCCAGTTCCTTCACCTAAAATTAGAGAAAAATTGCACGAGATGGTACAGAAGCGGTGTAGGACCAGGGCTATGGGAATTGTTCCTGGAGGCCCAGGAAGGGGCAGTGAGGGGCTTTCATTCCAGGTTCCCCAGGCACTGCCCCAGAGCTTCCAGTCCTAGCTGCCATGCTGCTCCCACCCAGAAGATAAGCCCTCCCCATCTCCAAGATTGAAGGGCTGATCAATATTGATAACCACAATGCAGATGGTACTTGGGGTAATATTAGTGAATATGGGACACTTACGAGGTACCATTATCTCCGTCAACCCCTAGCACAGCCCAGGCTCCCTCAGTCCCTGCTCTCCTGCCCCCTCAACTCTTCTGCTTGACTCTTCATCTGCAGCTGATCCGCAAGAGGAAGTGTCCATAAACCTCCCCCAGCCCTCAAGTCCTTGCCTGTCCCCACTCCACTATGCTTCTCCATGTCTTGAAGGGTGGTCCCCATCACAATTGCTGCCGTCGCTACTGGGGCTCTGCAGAGACCATTGCCTATCCCCTGACTCTGACCAGGGCTGGCTCCCCTACCATCTCCCAGTGCTTAGTGGCCCTAGAGCCACAGGTGGACTGTGGTGTCAAATTAGCCCAGAATGCCACCCTGAGGCCAGCCGCCTTCTATCATGGTCCCTTGGTCTGTGACCTTGAACAAGTCTTAGCCTCTCCTGACCCTTAGTTCATCATCATGCAAAATTGGGTAAGATGATGATAATTGAACCAAAAGTATAATTTGTGTGTTGTGTATGTGTGTGTATGTTAAATAAGAATTTACAAAAGCTTACACCATGCCTGGCAAGCACATAGATATATTACTAAGGCAAGGCACCAGGTGGCCCCACCCTATGTATCCCCACCACTTGGGAAGCCAAGGAGGTGGTCACGGGTCAGGAAATCGAGAAACCATCCGGTGCCCAACGTAATTGGAAACCCCCATCCTCTACTAAAAATAACAAAAATTAGCTGGCGGGAGGCTGAGGCCCAGCCCCTTGAATGCTTGAACCCAGCAGACATGAGGGTTGCAAAGGGAGCGGAAAGGCGCCAACTGCACCTCCCGCCCCATGGCTTACAGAGTGAGACTCTGTCCAAAAAAAAAAAAAAAAAAAAAAGAGAGAAAGAAGAAAAGAAAAGAAAAAGGAAATAATTACTAAGCGTTAGCCCCAACTGTTGTTTATTGTTTATAATTCCCTTCCTGCCGCAGCTTGGCCAACTTTCTCCAGGACGGCAACGATTCCTTTCCCTGTTGCGGGCTCCCGCTGAGCTTCCAGGGTTCTGGTGGAAAGGCCCTGGAGGGGAAACTGAGGCTCGGAGGAGTATTGCCCTGCTGACAACCCTCCCCGCCACCCCCCCAGACCTGACCACCCGTAGCCTGTGCACCTGCTGAGACAGTGCGGCTGCTGCGGCCGCTGCCGCTTGCCCTGCAGAAGCCTGGGAGCGGTAATCTCAGTCAGTGCTGCTGGGTTCTCACCGCTGCTCAATGACGCGGTCTTGCGGCCCTGGCCCTCACCTGGATGGCCTGCATCCTGGTAACGTCCCATCGGGCCGCCGGGAGAATGGAGGCCAATGAAACTCCTGCTCCTGGACATGTGGAGCCAATCGCCCACCGAGCCAGACTTTCAAGAACCACCTGTCCCTGTCATCCCAACCGATGCCACCACCAGTGACCCCACACCTCTCATCCCACATTCCTCTATCCATCCAAACAAACATCGAGTTAGCTATTTCTGGAATCAGCCAATGGAATATTGATTTGCAGAACAAGGCCTGTTTTGGCGGGGCTGGTGGGGAACTCACAACTTAACAGAGGGAAGCAAGACCAGTGATCATGAATGCAAACAGTTACAAAATCAGGAGACACTGAAATGGGGAGGGGTG